TCAAATTATTAGTTGGGGTCAGTCTTGTAGGTGTCTGGACCTACAAGGTTCTCTAGGTTCAGTTTTCTCTTCAAACCTATAAAGGCTCCCTCTTTTATAGTTTCTCTCTCCAGCAGAGGCCTGGGTGTCACACCATCCCTGGGTGTCAAAGATCCAGCAGTCAGAGACTCAAGATGGTCCCTAGGGGATATGCTGATTTCTGGGAGGGGCCTCTAGCAGAGACCAGGTGATGGAGGTGAAAGAACCTGCAGGCAGGGACTCAGATTGGCCCCTTGCTGATAGGCAGATCTGGCCAGGGCCTAGCACTGTCCAGCTGAGGCCTCTAGCAGAGGCTCTGTGATGGGGGTCAAAGATCCAGCAGGCAGAGACTCAGGATGGTTCCCACGGGATAGGCAGGTCTCTGGGAGGGGCCCTAACTCCAGCAGAGGATTGGCAGTGGGGGTCAGAGATCAGGCAGGTGGGTATTCAGGGTGGTCCCGCGTGGGTAGGCAGGTCTAATGTGCTCCAAATATAACACATCTTAGAATAATATTCCACCACAGGGAATACTCATTTAGCAAAGCAATGCACATAAGAGAACTTGATCTTTAGAATATGCAGTGTAAGCACTAAGCCGAACCATGAGAGTTATGTGAAGCACACTCAGTAGAACATTGTCAAAGGCTTAAGAATCTTGGATACTTCACTGTACATCTGTAACAGAGGAGGACAATAATGTTTCTCAGAGAAGACCACAAACAACTTCTCGACAACATATGGGCTGGCTGAAAGCGTTCACTGGCAAGCCTGGCGCCACACTGAGGTCGGTGAAACACTCAGGGGCCAGCGTGGGTTCTCACAGTCTGAACTTTGAAGTCATCTGCAGGCCTGCCTGGTGCCCTGTGGAGCTGGATGGGTAGGTGACATCACTTTGAGCAAACATGTGGTCGAGAAATAGGAGAAAAGAGAAACAGGGTAGGGTGTTGGTGGGATAGTGGTGAGCAGAGCAGCCTTCCAAGCAGTTGACCCGGTTCGATTCCTGGCCAACACAAGCTGTCCCCGTTTGAAGACAGAAGAGAGAGGCAGAGAGAGAGAGAGGGGGGGGGGAGAGAACATAAAAGAGGGGGCCATTATTGGTTTGAAGAGAACACTGAACCTAAAGAAAGGTCTAGAGACCTACAAGACTGCTGCCAACTAACAATTTGAGCAACCGTGGAAAGGCTACCATAAATGCCCTTCCCTGATAGTGAGATCAACAACTAACTTATCCATAGAGCCCTCATCTAATACAGAAGCGAACACCCATACATAAACACTGAGTCGAACTAGAATCCAGATACAGAGAAGAGAACAAGACCAGGTTGCACAAACACATAGAGACAGCTTACCTGAACAAGGAGGAGCTAAGGGCCCCAGACTGATAGCTGGGAAGCCAGCATGGGACTGACTCGGGCCCCCCTGAATATGGGTCTCAGCCAGAAGGACTGAGCAGTCTAAGGGACCTCAGACAGTAGAGCCAGGATGTATCCCTGGTGCACAAAAGGACCTTGCGAACACATCCCCCAAGGAGGGATAACTGCATTAACCTAGAGACAGGAGTGAAGCCCTAGTCCCTACTTCACATGACCTGTCAGACCTACATGACCCCAACTGGATGATTGCCTTACATGTGGAATTGGGGTGGGGAGATGGGAGGGGAGGGGGGTCAGGGCACATGTGAGGGGGCAGAGAGTAAAAGGGAGGGAGGGAGGGAGAGGGAACTGGGATCAACATGTAAAACAATAAATTAAATAAAAAAATTAAATTAAAAAAAGAGAGAAACAGAACGGTCATATGCTGTGAAAAGAGGCAGATCTGAAGAAGTGAATGTGGTAAGGAACAGGCTGTTGTGGGTAGCCTGCTTGCCACCTAGGGACAGGGTGAGGTCCAGGCCTGGGCTACTGTCTAAGGCTTTGTCTCATTCTGTGTTCCTACTGCAGCCAGAATCTGCAGCCAGGATTAACATCCATACCCCTTATTGCCACCAAAGAATGCTCGGAGCCTACGCTCCCACATTTGGCCACTTTAGTATCAAGGGGTCATGGCACCACAGGGGCTATGTTGATCTGAGTGGCCTGTGCTGCCAGCAGGGCACATGATGACACCCATGCCTGAGCTGTTGCCAAGGGCCATGACTGGGTTCTGTGGTCCAACAACAACCAAGTCCTGTGTTGATGTCCATGGCTTCTGTAACCACTGTAGGATGCGCAGATGCCCGGTGTCTGCTCAGCCACTGCAGTCCATGGTGGTGTCCAAAAGCCATACTGTCAATGTGGCCATGCTGATTGGAGTGGCCCATGCTGCCCCCTGGAGCTGTGGTGACATCTGAGCCCATGACTGGATCTGTGGCCCTGCCACAGCCAGGGTCTCTGTTGATGTCTATAGCTCCTATTTAAACCAAAGGTCATGCAAATTCCAGGGGACTGGACTGTCACCTGAGGCCAGTCGGAGGTCTGAGGGTCATGCTATAGTTGTGGCCATAGAGATCTGAGTGCTGTGCACTGCCTCTAGGTGCCATGATGACATCTAGGACCACACTGCACCTAAGGGCTATGTCTGGGAATTGGGCCCTACTGAAACCAGGGTCTCTGTTGATGTCCATATCTTCTGATGTTATTGGGGGCCATGTTATTGCCAGGGTCCTTGGCTGCAACCTGGGGCCTTGTTGGCAGCCGTGGGCCACACTGTCACTGGGGCCATGATGATCTGAATGTCATACACTGCTACCTAGGGCTATGATGACATTCAGGCCTGGGATGATGCAAATGACCATGTCAGGGTCCATGGGACTCCCACAGCTGACACCTGGGGGAGATGTTCCTGTCCCATAATTCCACCAAGGCCACACAGATACATGAGGTCTATGTTGAAACCTGTGGCAATGTTGGTGTCTGAGGACTGTGCCACCGACGGGCAATGCTGATCTGGGTGGCGTGTGGTGCCACCCAGAGCTTTGGTGTTTTCTAGGCACTAGCTGCTGCTGAGGGCCATGCCTGGGTCCATTTTCCTCAGAAGCCAGGGTCTGAGTTGATGTCTGTAGCTCCTGTTATCACAGAGGCACATACAGATGCCCAGGGTCTGGTCAGCCACCTAGACTATGTTGGTGTCTGAGGTCCTTGCTGCTGCCAGGGCCATACTGATCTGGGTGGCCTGTGATGCTGTCTGGGCCATGCTGCCATACAGACCTTAGCAATGCCAAGAGCCATGTCTGGGTCTCTGTTCCTGTTACAGCTGTTGATGTCCATTCCCTGTATAACCACAGGGGCTCATAGGAAGTGCATGTGTTGTTGAAATCTGAGAGCCATGAAGAAGTTGTTGAATTCTTTTTAAAGAAGGCATCTCTGCCCACAAGCATACATACCATCAACAGACATTTTCTTAGGAAGATATAACCTAGAAAAAAAATTTATTACTTAATCCAAGCTAAGTGACATTGCTTAAGGGAAGTTGAATGTTTCTGGAATTCCATTCATATTTGCACATATCATTAAAAAGTAGGTATGGCAAGAATTCAGATCCCAAGTGTTCTAAAAAAAATAATGATTTGCATGTTGTTCTGGGTAGACAGGAATTCCTGTTATCATGCACTGACTTTTCCTGAATGAGGCTTTCTCCAGATCCTTGGCTTTCAAGTGAGAAGGAAGAACTGTCTTACAAGACTCCGAGACCAAAGAGAGGCAGAGATAGAGCTGGCAGGTGAAAGCAGAGAGTGGGGTGAAGAGGCAGAGAAAGCAGCGGTCCTCCTCATCCACAAAAGCTGCTGTGTGGTCCTCCTGATGGGGAGGGTATCATGTATCCTGAAGAAGCTGCTTTAATCCTAGGTGTTTGTTCACACACACCAGTCAAGACCAGATGCTGAAGATCAGTAGGGTCAGACTGGGGCTGGAGCACTGTCCATCCTCTCAAAGTTAGGTTTCTTGAAGGCCCTCTGGATTCCAAGGCTCTAGGACAGGGGTACTGAAGTCTGATAGATTCTACTTCTTCTCAGGATAAATAAGGCTGGATGGCCCAGGCAAAGATGTAGGTGCGTGATCATCTGTATCCCAATGTTTGTCTTATAAGTGTGCACAAACGCGTCTGCTTCTTCTCGTTTGGAGACTGGGACACACATGAGGACAGTGAGACTGTCACATAAGTCAGGAAAACGTCTCCAGTTACTGCTCAAGAGAGTAAGGTCAAAATATCACTGGTACTACAGAGCAGAGCATGTATTGAGTAGTTGTGTTTTCTGGTATAGTATTCATGTCTATCATCACTAGTCAATGCTTTCTGATGAGGAACTGTGGGAAATAGAAATCAAAGGTAGAAAATAGCAAATATGGAGGATGCCAAACTGAGGAAAAGATGCAACCCATTTAGACTGTGAGTAAAAAACAACTCAATTTCCATAAGGAGTTGGAACTCCAAGTGATACATGTTGTTGTATCAAGGTGTTGTATGGTACCTACTGTGTAATTCCTCTCTTTGTACCATAGTAAGCATGGTCACAGCTGTATAATCTTATTTTTAAATCATTAAAATGGGTCTGATAAATTATACATTCAATGTAAAGAAATGACTACTCCAAACTCACAAGTAAAACACAGTATTTTTTTTTTTGACCAATCAGAATTATTTGAGTGAGTTACAGGTTTAATAGTATACTCTCTGTTGTATGTTCCCTCACAGCAGGATATTTGTCTAGTTTCCCCCAATATATCTTTGAAATATATTACTCAAAAATGAGCTTACATTCATTAGAACGGCCATGTAAGATTTTAAAACTTGAAAGAGAAGTGCAGCCTTTGGAGGCATGGCTGTGGTCTGACATGGGCATCTGTGGACCATGGGCTTCTGTGAAGTGGTTGAGATGAGCATGTCTTGCAGCTGTGTCCAGCACTAACTGGATCCCCATGATTTGCATGCACTCACTGCACAGCCCAGAGAACTTCTTCATATGCCAGTCACACTGTCTGCCATTGTCACTGCAGTCAGCACTCAGCATGGACATGAGGGCCCTTGCTCAGCTCCTCGGGCTCCTGTTGCTCTGGTTTCCAGGTAAAAAGGGAATAAAATGAGAATTTCACTGTTACACTGTAATTATTGTTGTTTGGCATTGGGGGGGAGGTCCTGTATTATACTTATTTATGTGGGAATTTATTATGTCCTTCTCCTAGGTACCAGATGTGACATCCAGATGACTCAGTCTCCATCCTTCCTGTCTGCATCTCTGGGAGACAGAGTCACCATCACTTGCAGGGCAAGTCGGGGCATTCATGACCATTTAAGCTGGCTGCAGCTGAAACCAGGGGAAGCTCCTAAGAGACTGATCTATGGTGCATCCATCTTGGCAGATGGAGTCACATCGAGGTTCAGTGGCAGTGAGTCTGGCACAGATTATTCTCTCACCATCAGCAACCTGGGGTCTAAAGATACTGCATCTTACTACTGTGTCCAGTATGATGAGTACCCTCCCACAGTGACACACGTCATAACAGAAACCTCCACGGAAGCAGAAGTGAGAGGCCGGGCTGCCTCAGCTGCTCCTCCTCATGAGTAACTCACTGAAAGTGTTTCTCAGATGTCACAGGACTTTCAGCAAAGCTAATACAGTCATTTGTTTAGGCAGTGGAGTCTAAACTGTCATCTCTTTACCCCATCTCCCTTAAACTTTATCTCTAGCCATACAGAGTAACAATGCCTTTTTGTGTCTACACGAAGGACACACTCTTTCTCTTTGAGGAGTCTGAGTTTCATCACCAGCGTGAACTCATATGGGACAGTGGAAACTGCTGTGAGCATTCCAGAACACATTATTTAAATACATAATTTTGGTTTGAAGTGACAGGATTTAAAAGGCAGGAAAATATTATCGAGTGAGTCTGACAGCAGAAAGCATTCCTGGATTTTTCACCGCAGCTAGAGCACTAGTGTCAGAGAAAGGGTATCCACAATTCTCTGTCTATCCACAATTCTCTGCTGTGTTTTGAAATTTTAGAATTGGGTGTTGATGCTCTCAGCTATCTGCAGCTCTTCACAGAAAATTATTCTGATTCCTATGTCCACTGGTGGCTCACAAATATCAAACCATATTGAGCCAAGCTCCTGTGACTTTCAATCCCACTGTATGAAGAATTAGACTATCTATGATATCATAAGGGTTGTAAAGTATTTTCTTAGCACGCTCCCAAAATTGATATTATTGAAGAATAGATATTTCACAGCATAGTTTTAGAAACAACACAACAGTGATCTATACTCTATCTTTTTTTTTAAGGGGTAAGATTTATTTTATTTCCTGTCTCTTTATGATATTCATTCATCTAATCACAAATCTATGAATCTACAGTACACACAGATAAGATGATATATTGTTCATAATTTAATAAAGCCATTGGAGATTAAAATCCAAAGCTAGTCACAGCCATAGAGCCAGGTGTTATATACCTTTCATTCCAGCAGCCATACCAGTTAGCCACACCTTTAGTTTCAGGACTTAGGAGACAAAGGCAGTGAATCAGTCTAAAGAATAACAGAGAATAGAGGAGAGCAAGAAAAGGGATTCCATGGTGGAGGAAGCAATTATAGGTCTTAAAAGAAATCTGGCACTAGAGAAATGTCCAGAGATCTACAGGGATGACCCCAAATAACAATCCAAGCAATAGTAGAGAGGCTACCTTAAATGCCTTTCCCCGATAATGAGATTGATGACTACCTTATATGTTATCCTAAATCCTTCATCTAGTAGTTGATGGAAGCAGAAGCAGACATCCACAGCTAAGCAGTGAGCCCAACTCCTGGGAATCAGTTGCAGAGAGGGAGGAGTGATGGGCAAAGGGTTCAAGACCAGGCTACAGAAACCCACAGATACAGCTGACGATGATTCAGCAGGGGCCCTTCTCGTCAAAGACAGCCTAGAGAGGACAGCAATGAAGAGGGCAAGGAAAATCAAAGAGATGAGACCCAGGGTCAGCAGCCACCTTAACATCAGTACGCCCAGAGAACCCTGAACCACAAGATGGCAAAGAGACAAAAGCAACCGATCCACCAGCTGAGAATTTTGTCATCACTGAAGGCTGAGCAGGGCGGGGCTGAGTAAATGCCAGCTTACCTCTACCATCTCCTCTACCATCATCCGGTTTGCTCATCCAATGAGAAGAAATGAATATGAAATTCCAGCAACAAGAAATGGACAAAGACTGGAGCTGAAGACCTTAAGTGTTTGCTTTTTGCCCATTGACCAGATACACTAGAACTACCTGCATCATCTATGTAGCATAGGTTTTTAAAATTATTATTATTTTTACCAAGGTGTCTCTTTTTGGTAATGACAAAAGTGTTTTTTTGGGGGGGGGTCCTGGTTTTTCTCAATACACCTTTAATGGTTTTTAAATTGTTTCATATCTGGTCAAGTTGAGATATTTAAGAACTTCATTTTTAATTTGTAATAAAATTTTGCAACTTGATTTAAAGCAAACAAACAAACAAAAAAAGTCAACAAACTGCAAGCACCTGTTAACAAAGGTCTTAAATAAATAAAAAAGAGAATGATAACAGAAAGTCTCCAAGGAAGCCTGGGCAGATTTCCATGTTCTGAGCAGTGTATTATTTATTACCTGTTAGTTATCAGAGAATCCAAGAAAAGTCCTCAGGCCAAAGGTGCTGTAGTTATTACTCAAATTCTGGCATAATGCAAATTTTACATTTTATGTCTTTATATCTTCATATCAAGAATATCTCAGAGCTTCATGAAGAGATAAGGAAAACCTTCAAGTAGATAAGAATATCTTCCTAAGAGCAGGACAGGTGGTATGCCCAGGACTGCTCTGGGGAAGCTAAGAATCAGAGCTCCTGGGGAAAGGAACAATGACTTATGAGATTCGCAGGCAAGTGGATGGCACTTGAAGAAACCATCCTGAATGAGGTAACCTAGTCACAAAAAGAGCAACACAGTATGTACTCACTCATATATGGATTTTAGACCTAGAGCAAAGGATCACCAGCCTATAATTCTCATCACCAGAGGAACTAGGATACAAGGTGTATTCTAAGAGATTCATATAAAGTCCCTCACAGAACTGGGAAGGGACAAGTCCCCCAGAGCTCAGGTGAAGTGGGGGGGGCAGCGAATGGAGAGAGAAGTAGGAGAAAATGAGGGGGAGGAAAGGAAAACATGTGCGACCAGGAAGATTGAGCCTGGTTAGGAATAGAAGATAGGAAAGTGAGAGAGAGACAGAGACAGAGAGAGAGAGAACATAAAAGAGGGAGCCAATATTGGTTTGAAGATAAAATTGAACACAAAGAAAGGTCTAGAGAACTACAAGACTGCTCCCAACTAACAATTTGAGCTTCCGTGGAAAGGCTATCATAAATGCCCTTCCCAGAGAGTGAGATCAACAACTAACTTCTCCATGGAGCCCTCAACTAATGCCTGTTGAAAACAGGATCAAACACCCATACATAAACACTGAGTCTAACTAGAACCCAGATGCAGATGGAGAGGACAAGACCTTGCGGCAGAAACACATACAGACAGCTTATCTGAACAAGGAGGAGCTAACGGCCACTAGACTGATAGCTGGGAAGCCAGCATGGGACTGACTCAGGCCCCCCTGAATATGGGTCTCAGCCAGACGGACTGAGCAGTCTAAGGGACCTCAGACAGTGGAGCCAGGATGTATCCCTGGTGCACAAAAGGACTTTGCGAACATATCCCCCATGGAGGGATAACTGCCTTAATCTAGAGACAGGAGAGAAGTCCTAGTCCCCACTTCACATGACCTGTCAGATCTACATGACCCCAACTGGATGGCATTGCTCTACATATGGAATTGGGGTGGGGGATGGGAGGGGAGGGTGGTTAGAGTGCATGTGAGAGGGCAGAGAGGGTAAAAGGGAGGGAGAAAGGGAGGGAGGGAGAGGGAACTGGGATCGACATGTAAAATAATAAATTAAATTTAAAAAATGCTTTGACTCCAAAATTTAAGTTGAAGGACAAGTTACTGGGGAAAAGGATTTCTATTTTTGTTTCCACAGAAAATGAAAAGATGTGGATTCCTTCCAGACTAATGTGGTTTGATCAAGCCAGACCGCCTGAAACAGAGTACGAGGTGATCCTACATTCAAAACAGCTGGACAAAGCAGCCTTACAGACTACAGCCAGGATTTCTGAATCTTCTTCAAATCCCCCATGACAGCGCCCCTTACCAGCAGGAAGTAGTTTGGAAAGAACGACGCCCAAATTCCCAAATATTGTGTATAAATGTTTGTTTTCATTTAATTGGACTTTGTTATATAAAATAAAATAAATTAATAAAAAAGAAAGTTTCAATCAATCAAAGATTCCCAAGTTGTACAAATATTAAATCTCCCTAATCATGCAATATGTAGCTGTCAAAACCAACTATCATGTGGCTCAGCTCTGCCCTCCACTTGTTTACTATAGAATGAACATGCCTATACACATATGCATATGAACACATAATAAATGAGAGAATATAATTTCACTGAGGTATAATTGGTGAATGAAAAGTTATGTATGTAAAACAAGTGAGTTGAAATTCACCTGTGAAGTATCAATAGCCACAAACACCAGGGACCCATCTTTCTATTCCAAGGTTTCTCAAACCATATTTCCTATGATAATTATTTTTAATATCCATCACTTTTACATATTTATGATTATCATTTGAGATATGACTTCCTAGTATGATTATTTTGTGATCCTGCAGAAACAAATACATCTCAGGAAAGACATCTCATAATTTCTACATTTAATATTCATAAAAAGATAGGCATTTCTCTGTAAAATTGACGAAAGAGGAGCAGAAGTATAGTTATTCAACTCATAGGGAATGGTTGCATACATGTTTTCATTTTCACTACTTCTAGTGTTTCTGTAACAAAACACTTATTGCCTATTGTCATATAGATGGACAGTTTTTATCACGTTATTTTCCTATAAATCGCATTTCGTTTTGCTATTGTCAGTCAGTCCTGACATCGAAGGTACATTATATGATTTTCGCACTCATGAGAAGCCTGCATGACTCTTTCCTCTATCTATACTGTAGCACTAACCATCGCCTTTGCATATTGCTCCCTAGAGAGGACCCACGCTTACCAGTCTGAGATAAAAGCTCAGTTGACATCCTGTGATAACTGATCAGTCTCCACAGACTGCCTCCTCAAAATGAAGCTGCCTGCACTGCTGTTGGTGCTGCTGTTCACGATTTCTGGTGAGGAGAGGGAAGTAAGATGGCAGGATGGGTAGGGAGAATGAGCCCAGGGTTCCATTGCTGATCTCGGGTATTCTAACCATGTAGGAGAAGACGTTGAGGGTTACATCTATTAGAGGGAGGGTTCAGATAGAAGAGGACTTGTTTTATAATGAAGATTATGACACAGAATGAGATGGTATAACTCATGCTATGAAGCCCTTTTAGAGTTTTTAGTTCATTTGGTTTGTCCACAAAGAAAATTTAATCTATAAAGAATTGTATGTAACATAAACATCTCATTTGAAATAAATATAAAAGAAGAATATATCATATTGTTCATGATGTGAGTCCTTAACTTTTCTCTTCTCTGTCTGTATTTCAGCTTCCAGAGGTGATGTTGTGATGACCCAAACTCCACCCTCCTTGTCTGTCAGCCCTGGAGATCAAGTCTCCATCTCTTGCAGGTCTAGTAAGAGCCTCCTACTAAGTAGTGGAAACACATATTTGCATTGGTACCTGCAGAAGCCAGGCCAGTCTCCACAGCTCCTGATCTACAAGGTTTCCAACCGGTATTCTGGGGTGCCAGACAGGTTCAGTGGCAGCGGGTCAGGCACAGACTTCACACTCAAGATCAGCAGAGTGGAGCCTGAGGATGTAGGAGTATATTACTGCTTGCAAGCTTCATATGCTCCTCCCACAGTGATTCAGACTCTAACAAAAACATCCTTGCTTGGGGTGGCTCAGCTGCCAAATGTGTTACTTATCTGTATGAGAGATTTGCTGTGGTACTCCAGCTTATTGCTTGCAGCTGAAGGATTCGAAGCATGCACCCCTGCCTTGGATACACCTCAAAGATCATGCATCTTAGTTTTCTTCAGCTGCAAAAACAATACAATTTCCTCAGGAGAAGGATGAACAAGCACATTCTCAGCAACCATAAATGATGGGCATAAAGCTGGGCGAACACCCATTCTGATCCAACAGCCCTGTTTGTTTTCATCACTCAAAATTATCCAATAAAGCAGGCAGGAAACTGAGACACATTCCTTTGTTAACTTTCCCCTTTACTATATGTTTACTCATCATTTGTCACATTATGCTTTTGACTTAAATTCCATTTTTTAATTTAAATACTTTATATTCCTTTCCCCTTTGTTTTCTCTTTGTGTACAGTCTGACTCCTTAAGTTCAGGCTATATTTTTCTTATGAAGTGTTTCTTGTCCGATGAATAAGTAATTATTTTAATATTTATCCAGCTGTTGTTATTTTCACTCCATGTTTTATTCCTAGTATGCACACAGTTTATGATTGGTAGGTACATATCCATGCTAATATTTTCTGGTTGGTTCAAACATTTTCTGTCCATTAATTTGTTTTGATTTGGTGTTTTTGTGTGTTGATAAAATGTTAATTTTTTTCTACTATAGTTCTGTAAATTTTGTAGGTTTATTGCAGACTACTTTTCAGGTTAAATCACCTTTCTTTTCTTTCTAGAGTCAGTTTTTTCTTTCATTTCTGAAGAGTATCTGGTAATTGTATTTTTTGGTGGTAGGGGAACTTTTTATTTATTTAAATTAGAAACAAGCTTGCTTTACATGTCAATCCTAGTTCCCTCTCCCTCCCCTCCTCCCCTCCTTCTCTGCCCCCCCACCCTCTATCCCATCCCCTTTCTGCTCCTTAGGGAGGGTTAAGCCTTCATTGGGGGATCTTCAAAGTCTGTCTGTCATTTGGAGCAGGGCCTAGGTCCTCCCCCGAGTGTCTAGGCTGAGGGAGTATCCCACTATGTGGAACGGGCTCCCAAAGTCCATTCGTATACTAGGGATAAATACTGATGGGAGGGGAACTTTGTGTTGTTGTTCCTTGCTAGAGCTTTGCTATATTACTCCATTATCTCCCACATGTTACATTCTTATTAAGAAATTAGTGCCAGCTTAGTTGGATTCCCTTCAATGTAATTTAGTTTCCCCCCCCCCATTTCATGTCCTTTTTTTTCTTGATATTTGATCTTTTAGACAGGTGTTTTGCATTGAATTTCTTTGAGAGTATTTGAGCTTCCAGAGCCTGGATGTTACATGGTCCTTGATTAACTATGTATTCTTTATGAGTTTGTATTCATTTAGTGCTGTCCCACTTACTTTCAGTGTTGTTCATTTTTTATTTGCTTTTTTTGCTTTATTATATACTTTAGAAATTTAAAAATATACATGTAATGGACTGTGAGTGACACAGGTAAGTTATACATTACAAGGCCTTGGAGGGATGCTAAGGATGAGGGAGCAGCCCATACACAAAAAGTCTAGTGGAGAGAAACACTAGTTACTGCTCTTGGTCTAATTGAGGTTTAGACCTTTTATTCCATTTTGAGCCTTGTGGCACTGGCTCAATGGGATATGAAAGAAGTCTTTAGAACTGGTTAAAAGAAGATGCTCATAAAATGGATTTGTTCATGTTATGGGTTACTTCATACTATGGATTAGTCTAAACTGTGGATTGTTTCATTTTATGTATTAGTTCATATTATGGATTTCATCATACTCTGGGTTTGAGTAGCAGTCTCAGGCTGTTTACAGACATTGTCCCTTGAATTTTGTTTACTTTTCTACATAAGTAAACTAACTTGCATGGAGATGAAACTATTTGAGCTTACATAAATATGTTTCCTGTCTGAGAAATGTGGGGATCTCAGCCCATTTGTCCAATCTCTGACACAGTACTAAAGACTACTCTTATTTTTTATTATTTTAATTTATGTGTAGGAATTTTTTTTCTGCATGTATGTCAGTGAGCCATATGACTGATTTGTGTCTGCAGAGGCCACAAGAGGGTTAGATCCCCTTGTACCACAGTTAAGGATAATAGTGATCCATTATCATGTGTGTGCTGGGTATCTAATGTGTCATTTGAAAGATCTTCTTAACCACTGAAACATCACTCCAGCCCACAAAGCTGACTTTTATCACCATAAGATGTTATATGTCTCTGGAAACAATGGACATCAAATGATAATCATTTGATGAAAGGTTTCCAAAAACATAAGACAACCTTCCTCTAAAAGAGGAAAAGGACACTCTGTGTATCAGTTTATGTGTCCCCTGTGATAAATGAATACAACCTCATACCTTCCAGAATCACAAGGTGGTAATCAGACTCATTCAACACCCTAATACGAGAATCCATTTCTGTCTTCTCGTCTCCAACGTGCTTCAAACTGTGTTCTAAGGTCCCTTTCCCTCATTACAACATGCCTTCTCACAGTCATTATCCTTCATTGTGGCAGTTCTCTGCCAATAGTATGAGTACCTCATAACCAGACTGATTTCACTGATTTCATGTATTCAAAATATGCAATCACTTTATGTCATATAGCAATTCCTTTTTATATTATAATTTCAATAGCAATTGAAATGTAACATTCCTAGTTTCCATACATCACCATAGATACATTTTATTATAGAGACTGCATACATTTCATATTTTTCAGCTTAAACAGTTGTTCTGAAATTAAAATATAATTATAACAAGCTTCATCTAAAATATTAGCTTTCCTCATTCCAGAATGTGCTACACAAGCTGTCAAGAAAGGGAAACCACCAATAGTCTTACTCGGTCGTGATGATTATGAACTAAAACAGTAACCAGGACAGAGTGTCTAAGGTTGCAGTGCAGTAGTGGTACACATACCTTGGAGATAACCGGGGACTTTTTAATTGGACATAAGGCCCAGTCTACAAAAGGGGAATCATGTCTGTCAGCTGAAACCTAGTTAAAGACCTGGAGCTAGTGAGGCCATGGATCTTGGGGACTGTAAAGACTCACACTAACTAAACCAGCATAATCCCTAATCGTATTTTTAATATTTATCCTTATACCCATGTTACCTCTCATCAAAGGAATGTATCCTACAACTTTTAACATGGTACTTGTTCTCTAAAGTTTAATATGATTTAAAAAATTGCAGGAGATTTCAAAATTTATGAAAGACGCTCACATGTGATTTGTGACCTCTGATCTGTTTGTTGCAGGGAGCGGAATATTCTTATGACTCCTGGACAGATAGGCGCTTCTTGCTAGATGCTTCCCCAATATTGCAGCAAGTGGAAATATATTATTGCTTAAATTCACTGAAAAGCTCCCAGTGGAGAAATCAATAGTCCCATCCAGCTGTAACACCAAGGAAGAAAAGAGAAATGCTTGTAAGATCCACAAGACCAAGACAGCTCTTAAGAGTGCTGGGAAATGTCTCTTCAGGCAAATACACACACACACACACACACACACACACACACACACACAGAGAGAGAGAGAGAGAGAGAGAGAGAGAGAGAGAGAGACAGACAGAGATACACAGAGAGATAGACTGACATTGACCACAGAAACAGACTCTGAAAATCTTTTTGAATTGTTAAAAATATTTAAAGTGAGTGACTGTTAAATGCACCTTCACTGTGTTTCGAGTGATTTTGCGCATGTAGAAAGGGAGGAGTGGCCGTCCTGGTCAAAGATTTTCTGTGAGATTAACGGTGGGTAGAATGGAGGGTTTATTATTATTATTATTATTATTATTTTGTCATCACAGTGGTTGCACCGGAACCTACTGCTGTTTCAGCCACTGACTGGATCCACAATCACTGACCCACTGCTCAGGGGAAGGGTTCTACATCCTCCGATCCACAATCACTGACCCACTGCTCAGGGGAAGGTTTCTACATCCTCCGATCCACAATCACTGACCCACTGCTCAGGGGAAGGGTTCTACATCCTCCGATCCACAATCACTGACCCACTGCTCAGGGGAAGGGTTCTACATCCTCCGATCCACAATCACTGACCCACTGCTCAGGGGAAGGTTTCTACATCCTCCGATCCACAATCACTGACCCACTGCTCAGGGGAAGGGTTCTACATCCTCCGATCCACAATCACTGACCCACTGCTCAGGGGAAGGGTTCTACATCCTCCGATCCACAATCACTGACCCACTGCTCAGGGGAAGGGTTCTACATCTTCCGATCCACAATCACTGACCCACTGCTCAGGGGAAGGTTTCTACATTCTCCAGAATTGCCTCTGCCTCTGCAGCCAAACTTAGTTCTTAAGTAAGTCTCTGTTGCTCTATTTTACCAATAAAGACCTGGGAGTCAGATGCTGGGGTGAAAACCTGATAACTAAGACAGTCAGAGAAGCAGCTATCTGACTTTCTCCTCAGACAGCGACCCAGCAAGAGACAGATTCTTCTGTGATACTAAACCACAAAAGATGGCCGAATTCACAAATCCCTCCATACTACTTCCTATGCATTTTCTATCCATTTTGTGGAGTCCCTCTAACTCTCTGTGGCTACTTCTTGTCAACTAGTTGCTGGCTCCACCTTCTGAGGCAAGGTTTTCTTTAATTAACACCAATTCAGCATTCACAATGTGTTCAAATAACCCACAAAAATGGAGGGGCATCTAGGGCAAGTCCTCTTACCCTGAGTGTGAAAGAGTTCTGCAGTTTGAATGATGAAGGGTCTGTGAGCCACAAACTTAGTGATGGAACATGTTATTGAGTGAGTCATAGGATCAGCTAAGGAGTCAATAGTGGAGGAGAAGCCAGGAAGTCTTAGCTGGAAATGCTGCAGAGCCTTAGGAAAGGGGTTAGGGGAGATATTGTAGCAGCCACCTGAAGCCTCTATGTATGAAGAGGGCCCAGGGCAGGGTCAAGATGGTCTCAGAGCCCCTTTCCAGATTTCTATAAAACTTCACTCCACACATTTCAATAATTGGCTACAATGTTATCTGGAGGGAGCTCGGAAGGTTACTGTTACAGGATCTCATGTTGGCTGAGGTCTGGATCAATTTGAGATGATCTAGCTTCTGTTGCAACCTTATCTCTGCATTAGCTCCTTTATTAGAAGGATCTAAATGTGGCATTGCCACTCCTCATTTCTCTAACATTTAATTTCACCTGGCCCTTCACAAGTCATTAGGGATCACAATATTCAGATTATCTGCAGACATTTGTCTTGTTTCAGCCA